TTATTATTCTTTTGTATATACCTATATATACCATCTGAGCAATATATATCTTCTTTTTTTGAACTTGTATATAGTTTGAAATTGAAGTTTTGAGAATTAATAATTTCAGTTAATAATAGAATGTTTATAATTAAAAGATTTCGTATTGGTTTAAGTTGAAGAAGTTTTTAAATGTTTGTATTAAAATTAGGTTTTTACAGAATTTATGTAGTTTGTATGTGATTAGAATTTCTTTCCAAGAAAAATAAGTAGGTAGGTAAAAGTAATCAAGATTAAATTTTAATTTAGTATTGTTAGCACCTTGTTTGGCAAGAGAATCAGTTATATTGTGTAAAGTATTTTTTGAATATGATTTAACTTTGTGTGTGGTGTAATTAATGTTTTTAAGTTTTATTAAATAATTAAATATATGGGCTAGGTGCTGCAAAAAGAAACAAAATGACAATTTTATAAAAATTTGTTTTTTTAGTTTAACTAACTAAAATTGACTTAGAAACATTTTTTACTTAAAAAAGAAATGTTAATATCTTAATAAGATTTTATGTAATCAATAAAACGATGCAAAAAACCAGTTAGATCAGATAAATATTTTTGATATAAATCGATATAGATTATCAGAATTTGTCATAGTAATATCCCATAATAATAAGCCAATCAAAATCACAAATTTTAATATTTTAAAGTTCATATAATGACTCAATTCTACTTTTTTTAAAGAACTTCTCTTTTTTAAAAAAACAGGTATGTTTAGCTTAACGTTAAATCTTAATGTTAAAATCTGGTAAAATTCTAAATTTTGATTTTTTTTTCTTTTTGATTACTTAACTAGTTATAACAAATACTCTTATAGTGAGTTCACAATGTACTGCACAGATTAAAAGACCCAAGGTCTAAACTTATAAAATATCTGGATATATTGCAGACTAAAAATAGCATGCAGTCTGTGATGTTAAAAAAAGCTACTTAAAATTAATAGAATTCTCAGAATTCCTGCAGTTTTCACTGGGTATAATATATAGAAGGATATAATCAAAAAAGATTTTTTAATTAGCATGATACAATATAATAAACTACAGCCAAAATACTGAGCTTTAGTGATAATTCTAAAACAGCCATTATGAGTACATATATTGTGACAGTGTAAAATTGGCAAACTGTTAACGACTAATCAGGCAGGAGTTGCTATTAAGTAGAAGCCTAATATAAGAACTACTAAATATTCTAGATTTTTCTTTTCTTCACCCTAAGTAGTAGGCTTCAATAAAGGCATGGATCAATTTAGTCCAAGAATAGGATGTTCTTTATATTGCAGTAGTCATAGGAACATGCATAGACTAGTTTTACTCTTTTTATACTTAAATTCTGGTATTAGCCTTAATGCTGTTATTACTTTTAGTTTCTCTACACTAGTATGCACTGGTATAGTCCTTTACTACCCTAGTGTGCCTGGGTTTCAGTCAATTTTCAAGTTCCGAATTTTATGAGCACATGTCACGGGATCATGATTCAAGGGCAGTAACATGTATGAGTTTATTAACAATAGCGATAGAGTTAATTACAAACTTAATCACTATAAGAGTTTTGTATAAATAGGGGTCAATTACTAATCTGATTTCTCTTTTTTTTACTTGCAACACACTAATGATGATGGGTTTAAAATGAATCATAAAGACAAGAAAATATGATATCGAATGCAATAGTAATGTTACAACTCAAAGGATACTTAAGGGTACTAATACTTTTATTTTTATATTTATGAACCTGATAAGGAAGTTATTTTTATTTCAATTAACGATTGAGGCTTTATATACATTTTTATTATTATAATGCTTTTACTAATACTTTTGGCCTTTCTATTCTATATATCATTACTGTCGCAACTGTCAGTGCAAGCATAGCTGCTATAGATATATGACAGCTATAGTAGCTTCTTACTTAATTCGACTCAAGTCACCTTGTTTGTCGATCTTAGCCAAATTTCCTTCATGTACTAATTTTTTGTCAGCCCGTTTTTTACACTTAAATTAGATTTATACTTGCATATAATTTCAAATTGATATGTCGATCTAATGTTGATGTTATTAAGTAATTTATACATATATAGTTAATGATATTACTTAACATGATTCAGATGTAATATTCTGGTTTGTGTTTGTGTGAAATGTTAATGATCTAGACAGAAATCTTTTAATTATGTATTATTATGAACATAGAATAAGAGTTAAGAAAAATAAATAGCATATATATTCATTATCAAAAATCTGCAGTATGAATCATTCTGTCAAAATACTCTGGCTTGTTATTGTTATGAGCATGGAATTGGAGTTAAGATAAAAATAAGCAATCCATTTATTATCGAAAATCTGACAGATATGAATAGTCTATCTATAATCTTTTGGCTTTGTTATCTGTTATAAATATGGAATTTGAGTTAAAGAATTTATTCGTTCATTAGCAAAATTCTGCATATAAATAATCTAATCGAAATATTCTTGCTCAGTTTAGTTACGAACATGGAAATAAAGTTAAGAAAAGATGTTCATTGATTATCAAAAATCTACAGCCATAAATGATCTGGTCAGAATATTCTAGCTTGGTTCTGTTATAAACATAAAATTGAAATTAAAATGAAGTGAAGCATTTATTCATTCATTATAAACAAATGTAGATATAAATAATCCAGTTAGAATATTCTGGAGCTGGAATTAAAAAGAGACATCCATTTGTTATAAAAAACCTACAGGTATGAATGATCTTGATGGCATTTTTATTGCTATATGAACATGATACAGATAAAAATGAAAATAAGACATTCACTTATTATTACGTAAAAATCAAGATATAATATCTGTATTAGAATAAATTGGATTGGAATAATATTAATACATTATTAGAATCAGTGAATCTTTTATTATTAACTATGTAACATGAATGTTATAACTAATTATTACTATAATTGGTTAATTATTACATCAATTAAATGTATTATAGATTGGTAATAATCTGATTGAAAGCCTATTGTACTTTCAAATAAATTTGAAAGAAAATTCGAGCACATGGTAATTGTTGAATCTAGAAGATTAACAATAGCAACTTAAATTGTTATAATTACTTAAATTAGTTAGCATCCGGACTTAGTCATATATTGTTGGAGGATTCTTGTTGAAAACAAGAAAGCATTTTTGATTCATTACCAGAATATATTTTTATGCATAAATGAAGTGGCAGTATAACATATGAAATTTTTATGTTGCATTTATTCTGTTTAATGATAGTCTAATCAGTTGTATGTTTGTTAATTATTTGTTAGGTTTTGACTTTCTTGAAAAAAATAGATTTAACATATACATTAGTTTCTTCAATTTTTTTAGACACATATTCAGAAATATATTCATTAGCAAAAGAATTTAATTAGCTTAAAATGTTCTATCAAGCAAATGGTGATTATGAGTTAGAACTAAAAGAAACATTAGAGAAAAAAGAATCTCTCTTCGAAGCTTCCGAAAATATAGAATCTAACAATAAAAAAGTACAAGAATTTGATAATCAAATTCTTACATTTTTACAAATTGAAAAATTTAAAAAAATATTTGCTCAATATACAATTAAAGAAAATGATGATGAGCAAGAAACTAATGAGAAAGTGATGGTTCTTTTAGATCAGCAGGAAAAAGAAGCTTTTTTTGTCAAACTTCATACATTAATTTGCTGTAAAACTAGAATATGTTTAAGTAAAATTGATAATGAATTTGCATTTCAAGTTTTTGATAGCATTCGAAAATTATCAAAAAAAGAATATAATATGCTTCTTTTAGGAATGCTTCATATAATGATTTGCTTTAAAGAGACAACTATGCATGGTAAAAAAAAACAATACTTAATCATTAAATATACTTTTAATGATAATAAAATTTGTGAAACTGCATTTCAAACAATATATCTACTATTAGATAAAAAATAGAGAAATATTCATGATCATTACTGGGTTAATGGTATTAAACCAATTGTACATGCACTTTCAGGAAGAAAATCTTACAACGCTTTATCATTTGCAATTATTTTAAATGTTCTTACATTTATTGTTAATTATGCAAATTGTCATAAATTGCCATCACTGAGTAAATTACTATGTATAGCGATATTAGTTATATAGTATCAATATTTTTTTTAAAATAAAAAATAAATAAAACTTTGAAATTATTTAAACACAATAATATATTTTTTTTTAATTAATAAAATATACATAAATAAAAATTTTATTAGGCCATCATTTTCATGAAGATACTATGGCCATTATATTTTTTTCTGCAAGTGAAAGCTATGTTGGACTATATGTATCTATCAATCAAGTTTAGATAAAACTTCCAATTTTCATATTAGTCGATGGTCTTTTGTACAAATTTGGAAAAAATATATACCAGAAATTCATTTTTTATCACCTCAAAGCAATCTATGTATGATATATAAAAACATACGATTTAATGCTCAATTTTGAACAGAAAGTGAATGAGATCAAAATGTTCAACAATAGAATGATCATATTAATTGGGCATATCAGGAACGAGAGTATTATAAATAAGAAAATCTGTAATTAGAATTACTGTAATGCATTGCCTTTAGTATCTTCTTAATTACTGTTGGTTACTGTTTACAGTATCCTTCTAAAATAATATCTTATAATTAAGACCTGGATATTATTCACCACCCCTACTGGCTTGTTACTTGAATAAGACCTGTGTATTATTTATTATCTCTACTGGCTTGTTACTTGGATAGACCCAGGTATTATTCACTATCCACCAGGGTCATTGGTAGAGTAAGGTGGATTCTACTGAATTGTTATTTGAATAAGACCCAGGCTTAACTAAATTGATTTACCACTTTTAATATAGCACTCAGTTCTTTATACAGTACTCACAAGTACTATTCAATTTTCAAAAAATAGAGTTCTTGAATAAGACCCTAGGCACTGTAAACAGTAGCAAATGGTAATGCATTCTTTAAATAATTTTTGAGTATATTTCAAAAAATAATTTAGTAAAAATTGTATAATACCCAAGTATTAAGATTTAGTTAAAAACCATTTCAATTATAATCAGATTATAATCTTAGATTTCTAAAGCATAATATCTCCAAGTCAATACTCTCCAGCTTGTGTATTCACTTTTGCTTATAGATATATTACTATGTATAATTATTATTATTTTTTTTTTGATAAGATCCATACTAAATACAGTGCATTACAGTAGACCTGAATTTATTGTTTTAAAATATAATAATTTTAGATAACTAGAACCATCCTAGTATGTTTATAAAAAATGTAAGTTGCATTATAATTAAAGCTCAGAGGCACAGTAATAATAAAGTATTATTTTAGTGTCAGAAAATATAACTAATATAATAGATAATTGTATGATAAGATATCAAGTTTTTACTTTTGCTCAACTTCATATAGCGATTTTTTTTTTTAAGAAAATTAGATATTTTACTTTATAAAGAAATTTTGAAAATAGGGTGTGGCGACCTAGTGAAGTGGTCAGGTTGTCAACCCTCCAAGTAGTAGGTTGGGTGTTCAAATCCCATCGACGGCGAAAATTTGGATAATCACCTATGTAATATTTGTATTACGACAACTGTTACTAACGATTGGGTTAGGATACCTGTAATGGCAGTCGCACCAGCATGACTGGCAGGTCATGGGGCATTCGTGTAACAGGTCACATGACATTGTCCTTTGGGACAAGGTTGTGGTTACACGAAGGAATGCAAACCGGCAATAGGCAGTGCAAACACTAGATAAGTCCTTGTGGCCGTGTAAATCTATTGAAATTGGGTAACAAGAAGTCCATTTGGGAAGACCTGAGTAGAGAGGTAGCCAGATCTTTGATAGCCCTACTGTAAAGGCTAGCCTTATGAAACGGATACCAAGGTTGAAGTAGCCGGACAGGCAAAAACCTCTAGATGGGGGTACCACCAACCAGGTCGCCGGATCGAGCCGAAGGAAAAGGATATCGGGCTGATCTGATATACCAATGGACAGGTCGTAAGTCCTACCGGGCTATCTGGATTAGGAGTTTGGTGAACTGGCAGGAGTATACTAAAGTATTTCGAATATGCTATGAAGATGCTGGAGTTTGTGTAAACTCTACAAGGGCATAGTGGTTTAATGGTCAGCCCTGATCGCAAGTGTTGGTTTTGCCATAGCGATACCTAGGTTAGCTGTAAAAATGGGTACAGAAGGCTCTGGGGATTTACCTTGAGGATAAATTAGTCCTAAGGTTGAGGATGATGATCTGGTACATCTGAGATGACCAGTGATGTTAATATAGGTTACAGGTTCAGAGGGTTTAAAGTGGAACACCCAAGCAGGGGTGTTAGGTACGGCAATTGGTGGGGAACCTTCGGGCAGACTCCTTAAATAGGTAATATAGAAAAGTTACACGTGTAGCCAATTGTACGCTCTTCTGTAGTGGTTTATTGAACCACAATGCCAACAAGTGATTAATAAATATCAAAAGACCAAAGAGGTCACCTTAATAAAAAAAAAAAAAAAAAAAAAAAAAAAAAAAATTCTTTTATGACTTACAACTTAAATCTATCTATTTAAAAACCTTTATATACATAAATTATATTTCAAACACTTTAAAAAACAATATTCCTATCTTACAAATTCACAATACCTTTAAATTTCATATTAATATCACTATAAATATTATTTTTCAAGAATTTAATACAAATTATTATATTTTATCTTTTTACTTAATTAAACCACAATTTGATACCTAGTTTCAAAAATTTTTTACATATTGTTATAAGATAGATTTCTATTATTATATTATTTATTAGTTATAGTTGCTTTAATGCTTTAAAACATTTAATGTCTTAAGCTTGTAATACTAGTCGCTTAGTCCCTTAGTGTAACTAGTCACTTAGTCCCTTAGTGTAACTAGTTGCTTAGTCTCTTAGTATAACTAGTCACTTAGTCTCTTAGTGTAACTAGTCGCTTAGTCTCTTAGTGTAACTAGTTGCTTAGTCTCTTAGTGAAACCAGTCGCTTAGTCCCTTAATGCAACTGGTTGCTTAGTCCCTTAGTCGCTTAGTCGCTTAGCTTACAGATATATAAACCCTCTAAATTCCCCTAGGTAGAAAAGCTTTCAACAAGTTCTATAATCAACAGTTTTCAAGAAACAGACAATTCCCCTTCTTCTTTATCCTGTAATTTATATCCTGAATCCTTTAGGACAGGCACCTAAGGATCATCCTTCTTATAATTCTTTAATAAATGACTTTAACTATAAACTACTATGTAATAATTATCGAACTGCCTCAGAGATGGGTATAGTTT